GTTAATTTTGGGGGGGGGGGGAAGGGGGTTTTTGGGGGATTTTTAATTATTTAAATAACACCAAATTTTTTTTTTTTAAATTAAAAAAAAAATTTTTCAAAATTTAAAGAGTGGGAGAAGTTTTTGGAAAAAAAAAGGAAAAAAAAACCAAGGGTTTTTAAAAGGACAAAAAAAATATAATTTTTTCCCCTTTTTTTTCCTTTATAAAATTTAAAATAAAAAAATAAATAACCCATTTTTTTTCCAATTTTTTTTTTTTAAATTTTTTAAAAATTTTAAAAGCCTTTCCCCCCTTTTTTATTTTTTTTTTCCTCTTTCCGAAATTTTTTTAATTTAAATTCAAATAATTCAGATAATATTATTTTATATTCAATCATTAATAAATTTTCAATTTTTTAAATATTAATAAAATATGAATTTACTTTTTTTATTAAACTATAATAATAATAATAATAAATGCAGATTATAAAGATGTACTTCTCAGAAGAACAAGCAAAAAATAGTAAATATATTTTAAAGAAAATGAATTTTTATTATTTACTAAAATTTTTATTTAATTTTAGTAATACAATAATTTTAGAAAATGAAGATATTCATTAAGAACTTTAAGAAAGTCTAGACTCAATAATATTTTCATGGAATATTCAAGGTTTTAAAGGTCCAGCCATACATGGAACATCAAAATTTCAAATATTAAAAGATATTGTAGCTTTAATAATATCAACAACTGGTAATTTTTTTATTTTTTTAGATGATTTTTAATATTACATTAAATTATTAGAATTTTTATTGTTAGTTTTTTGGTGTGTTTTTATACTGCCAGAATTTTTTATTTTTTTTTAAGAACATTCTGGTATTAGTTTACCACACTGCTTATAAGTTAGGGCATTGTAGCGCCAATTAGTGTGTGTTTCTGAAAACCTGCTTGTAAGAAGATCAAATCGGAATAGAGGAGCTGTAATCAATTCATTCTACAATTAGGCTAAAATGAGAAGATATTCAAAGCAAATACTTTAAAATAATCAGCAAATCCTTTGTTAATTTAAAAAAAATCAACAAGATCCAATGCGAGAAAACTACGACACAGGGAAAAAAAAAAAAAAAAAAAAAAAAAAAAAAAAAATCACACGGAAGATTAGGCATGAAAATTAAAAGTTGTATTCCGAGCGGGAATCGAACCCACGGCCCTTACCGTGTAAAGGTAATGTGATAACCAACTACACCATCGAAACTACTTATATGATTTTATTGGTTAAGTTGCCGAGTCCCATTCTAATTTTAAAGGGATAGTCGACAGGCTAGAGAAGTTTAGCAAGATACATGTATGGAATTCAGATATATTTAGAGTGAAAATACCGATTCACCTGGAAAGCTACAGAACTCTATCGATGAACTTCAAATAAAAATTAAATAACAAAAATTACCCAACAAAAATTAAATAACTAAAATTAAATGATCAAAATAAAATTACTAAAAATTCTTTTAAAAATAAATTAATAAAAGTTGTGTTAACCTTTGCACCATTCTTCTTGAAGGGGTAAGTCTAAAATTCGTGGTTAGCAATTAATACAAAAATAAGTTGCCGATTACAAAAATTAAATAACTAAAATCAAATAACCAAAAAAAAAAATTAAAAAAAAATAAATAAAAATCGTGTTAACCTTTGCGCCATTTTGAAGGGTTAGTAACAAAATTCGTGGTTGGCAATTAAATATAATTTATAAACAAATTTTTTTATTTTAGAATTACAAAAACTAAAACTAAAAATAATCATTCTGAGATTCGGTGAATGACCTAAACCAAAAGACCTTTTTAGAAAATAACCTGAGTTGAACAAAGTGGTGCTCGTTGTGAAATGATTACGAGGGTTTAAATGAAAAATAAGATTTGAAACAAGAGCATCTTGAAACCGAATTTAATAAATTAGAACTAAACAAAATAATTATTAAAATAAAATATTAGTTACTTTTACACCCAAATATAATAATAATAAGGATAAATATAGTACAGTTAGTTGTATTTATAGTTACCTGAATAATTTTTCCTACCGAGATACTGGAACATTTAGAAAATTTTTTTGCTTTTTTTTACTTTTTTCTTTAAATTTGAATTGATGTGGTGCGTAATTTTTTAATAAAGATTTAAATGAAGATTTGATTATTTCTTGGATGATACATAACTTGTTAACTGTTTTCAACTTTATCAAAATCATAAATTGAAACATTGGAAGAAGAAACTGAGCTATCAATTTCATCGCAACATATTTCAATATGAATTAATATCCATATAGTCAACAAAGTTTGGATCAGATATCTAATAGGAACCAAGATATAATTTAACATCTTCTAAATCTTCTTCATCATCATATGGTTCATGGTCTTGGTCCTTCCAACCAACATATACATTATTTGGTACCCCTTCAACATTATTTCCCCTCTACATTTAATTAAATAGTAATAATATTAATATATGTTTTATTTATGATGTTTAAATATGAATATATAAATTACTTACATTTATAATATTGAATCTTTCTTTGCATTCTGGGCAAATATTGCAATGTTTGGACCATTTTAATATACATTCAAAACAATATTTATGACCGCAACCTAAGAATGAGACATCTATTGTCTTCATTTGGGAATAACATATTGTACATTCGTTATCCCTTTCTTTTTCTAAATGTTCACTTTCTAGAACCTTGACTTTAATTGATTCTTCTTGACCATCTTTATTATTTAATCTCTCCAATAATTTTTTATTTTCAAATGAGAGTTGAGATAATACTTGTTCGTTGGATGCAAGGATTATTTCAAGTTTTTGGATATGATCGTTTTGACAATTTACCAAACGATCTTTTTCTAATAATTGTTCTTCCATTTGAACTGATTTGCCAATTTGAAAATCCAATTTAGCTTGGAGTGAATTTCTTTCTTGGACTAAATTATTTTGATTACAATCATAACTTCTAAATGATTGTTGGTTTAATAAACTTCTTAATTGATTAATTTCATTTGATTGAAGTCCCAATAAGTTTATTAATTTTTCACTCTCAATTTTATTTTTTTGTTCAATGGCTGCTTGTTGTTGAGATTGGATTGAAAGTTGGTCTTGGTTAATTTTTTTCTCTAATTCTAATTTATAAATTTCATATTTTAAATTTGATATTTGAAATCTATAATTTTTTTCTTTATCGGTGATGTCTTGTTGTTGATGTAATTTTTCAATTTTGGCTAAACATATATAAATGAAACCAAATGAAAAACCAATGATTGCAAGTAAAAAGAAAATAATATAAAATGAAAAATCCATTTTTGAATTAAACTATTAATTAAAAATGGTTGATGTGAATAGTGATTTTGTAATATTGAAAATTATTTTATAAAAATATAAAAATTATTGATGATATTATTATTGTATATAATATTATATTAAATAAATAAATGTATATAATGTGAATATTATTAAAATAATAAAGAAAAAAAAAAAAAAAAGTAAAATTTCTTTCGACATTCATTAAAAAAAAAAAAGAAAATTAAAAAATTAAAAAATTAAAAAATTAAAAATTAAAATATAAAAATTTAAAAAAAATAAAAAAAAAAATGAAAATTACCACAAAAAGAAATTAATCTATAATGATTATAAAAAATAAATGGGGGTTATAACCACACAGTTTTTATTATTTGAAATGAAACAGCGTTGATTATGATAATGAAAAAATTGTATTTAAAAAAATTTATTAACAATAGTTTTCAATTTATATTGAACTTCACTATTATTAAAGTTGTGATAGATTTATATTACCACTATAATTTCTAAATATTTGTTATGAGAATTTTTTTTAGTTTTTAAAGAAAGATATAATAATAACTTTTAATTTTATTTTATTTTTTAAAATTTATTTATTATTTATTTATTTTTTTATATTATATTGTATATTAACCCTCTTCGATTATAAGTAGACAAATTCTAAATAAAATAGGAAATACCATTTTCCCAAACCGATAGGCCAATGGGAAAGTTACCGAACTTTATTGATGAAATACAAATAATGTATAAATAAAAATTTAATATCTAAAATTTAATTAAACTACATTTTCATAACACATAATATAATTATTTATTAGTTATTTTTTTATACTTTTTTATACTTTTATATATACTTAATCATTTATAGGTTGTTTATTTGTTATACTTTGTTTTACTTAAATATATTTTTTTAATCATTTCTTTTTTTTTTTTATTTTTTTTTTAAATTTTGATTTATTTATTTATTAATTTATTTTTGAATAAACTTGGAAATGATTCACTAAATTGGTTTTTTGAATAAATTAGTTCCAGATGATCCAAAAAACGATAAACGATAACGATAATTTTTAATCACTACTAAATTAGTAGTACTAAATAATAAAAAAAGTTTTTAGATTTAAGCATTTTAAATAATAATATTAATAATATAGATAATAATAATAATATTTTTATTTAATTTATAATTATTTTAATAATATTAATAGTTCATCAATAAATTAAGCAGTTTCTTTTAAAATTTTGAAATCAAAATTAGTTTTACCATTTTGGGTAACATCCATATTGGTTGGGAAACCTTCGGTTTTTCTATAATTTAAGATACCAGTGCTTGGGTCATATTGGAAGTAAACACTACCATTGGCAACAGTAGCACCTGGCCAAGCAGTTTGGGCAACAATGATTTGACAGACCTAGTTAAATTAAATTGTGTTATTATTTTTAATTATTTTAATTAAAAAAAAAAAGACTACTTACAATTTCGGCATTTGGTGGATTAAGTTTTGGAATTGGGCATTGAACATAATCGTCACCATTTAAACAGGTTACTGCTGAAACTTGATATGGAATAATGGTAAATTTGTATGTACCTGCTGGTGATGAAACTAAATCACCACTGGCAATTAATTTTACATCAATAGCATAACCAAATTCATTACCTAAAACTTGGAATTTAGAGAGACCATTAAGACTGCTTAAATCGTTGTGGGTACCTGATTTTAATTCTTCATGAGCTCCTGGTTCTGGGTTATAAACATCATTATGTTGATAGGCATTAACCCAAACATTGGTGCCAATAATACATGATAAAAATTTATCATTATATTGATCATTTGGTTCAAAAGCAACAGAATCTCCTTCAGTGTATTCAACACCAGTACCGGTACAGTTTTTAGCAGTGAAAAATTTAACTTTATTTGATTCTACTGACATTTTTTATTATAATAATATTTATATGATTTATTTATACTTTTGGAAAATGAAAATAATATATTTTTTTTTTTCTATTTATATTTTTTTTTTTATTATTAAAAAAATTTTTAAAACAAAATATATTTCAAATGATTTGTATTATAAAAAAACGTTACTAAAATTTCAAAGAATTACAAAATTAATTTTAAAAAAATGATTTTTTAATATTAAAATCTAATGAGTGGTTTGATTTATTGGGGTAAAAAAAAAAAAATTTTACCATCCATCCAATTTTTTTTAATAAATATTACAAATTTGTTTTTTTCAACCATGATCATGTTGAAAAAAAAAGTAAAATGGATTAAAATTGTTTTTTAAAGCAAAATTTAGTTTACACAAACAAAATTTACCCCATTAATTTTTTAATATTTCCCAATTAAAATTAATAATGATGATATTTTTTTTTTAAAAAAAAAACACCCCAGATATTAATAAAAGAATGATTTTGATTGGTGGTAAATTTTTTTAAGAAACTTTTTTTTTTTTTTTTTTTGTGAATAATAATTTATTAATTAGAAATAAATAAATATGATGCACACGGACACCAGTGACCTTTTTTTTTTTTGAAAATTCTAAAATATAGTTTTATTATTAATTCTTTATAATGATTAAAATCTTTTTTTTTTTTTTTTTTATTTTTTTTTTTATTTTTTATTTAATTATTATTACTATTGTTAATAGTATTTTAAATAATATATTTTGATAAATCTGTTTTTAATAATAAATCTGAAAGTTTTTTTCTAACATCTTCTACACCAATTGTGACAGTTTGATCTTTATAGAGATGACAGTTAAAGCTGATATCCTCAATGATACGTTCAATAATACCGTGTAAACGACGAGCACCTAAATTTTGAATTTGAGCATTGGATTCAAAAGTGATTTTAGCAACTTCTCTAAGAGCTTCTTCAGTGAATTGTAAATCGATATTTTCAGTTTTCATAAGAGCTTGTTGTTGTTTAATTTGATTATTTCTTGGTTCTGTTAAAATTCTGTAAAAGTCCTCTTCTTCTAATGGTTTGAGTTCGACTCTGATTGGAAGACGACCTTGAAGTTCGCTAATAAGATCTGATGGTTTACTATTATGGAAAGCACCTGAGGCAATAAATAAAATTTTTGAAGTATCTACCATACCATATTTAGTGCTTACATTGCAACCTTCGATGATTGGGAGTAAATCTCTTTGAACACCATCACTGCTTGCATCACCACCATTCTTATAGTTCTCACGGGGAGTACAAATCTTATCGATTTCATCCAAGAAAACAATACCATTTTGTTCGACTGATTGAATTGCTAATTTAGTAACATCTTGAGATACGGTATATTTTTCACGATAGGTTTTTTCGAGAATGGCTCTTGCTTCAGAGACTGTAACTTTTCTTTTCTTTGAATTCTTTTCACTAGCTGCACCTGGTACCAACAAACGGATAAATGGACTCTCATCATCTAATTGAATTGATGATGAGTGTTGTTTATCAAAACTGTTTGGTACATCGATCTCAACCATAATAGTTTCTATTGATTTATTTCTATAAAGTTTTGTTAACTCTTCAATTGAACCATTTGAACCATTTGGACCGAGAATATTTGTAATAATTTCTTTTTCAACATCTGCTTCAATGTTTGCTTTATGGGATTCAGCAATTTTAGATTTAATATTTGAAATTGCAACATCAATAAGATCTTTAATAATTGTATCTACATCTGGACCATGATATCCAACTTCAGTATATTTGGTTGCTTCAACTTTAATAAATGGTGCATTAACAATTGCTGCTAAACGTCTTGCAATTTCAGTTTTACCTACACCAGTTGGACCTATTTTAAAAAAATAAAAAAATTAATATTAATTTATACTAATTTATTTAAATTATTATTTAATTATTTATTATTTACCTATCATTAAAATATTTTTTGGTGAGACATCAGCTCTGATTGATGGGTCTACACGCTTTCTTCTCCAACGAAGACGAAGTGCAGAGGATACTGATTTTTTGGCATTGGCTTGACCAATAATATATTCATCTAATTTATTTAAAATTTGGTTTGGATTTAAATTATCTTCACCTAAAATTTCTTCTTCTGTTAAAGTGGTTTTAATTTTTGGTTCGCTTGGTGTTGGATTTTGTTGGGATCTTTTTATAAGTTGAGCAAAAGTTTCTAAATCAGATGATGAAAATGATATACCATTATTATTTAAAGTATTGTTATTATTGTCATTTGTTTTATTTTGCATTTGAATAATTTCTTTAATATATGGTTCAATAAATGGGTAATCTTTGATTAAGAGTTAACAGTTGTATGTGAATTGGTTTTTTTGGAATTAATTTACTTGGGTCTGGTTTATTTGATGAAACCGGTTCCTTTAAGGTTGAGGATTTTGTATTCCTTTGTTTGCCGGTTGTGGATGTTGATTTTGGTTTTTTTCTTTGTCCCTTTTGGTCTCCCCCCCTTTTTACCTTTTTTTCCATTTTCTTGCTTTGGTCCCCCAGTTGCTAATTTTGATTCTTTTTTCTCTTCTCTTTCAACTAATTCTGCTTCCATAACAATATTTTGATCATTTTTATCATTCTATCGTTCTGGTCTATTTCACTTTTAATTTTGTTTACAAAACCATCTAAATTGAACCCATCATTATCTTTATCATCTATTATATTACAAAAATTTCTCCAAAAAAAATTTTTATTATTATTATTATTATTTACTAAGCCATTTAAATTTTTTTTTTTAAAATTTTTTAAAATATTATTAAATCTATATAATTTTGAATTTACCATTATTTTAAAAATATTTTCAAATTTATTTATTTATTTATTTTTTATTTAAAACTATTTTTTTGTGTATCTAAAAAAAAAAAAAAAAACAAACAGGGTAGGTGGGAATGTTTTAAATTTTGAAAAATAAAAAAAAAAAATGGAAAAAAAAAAAATAAATAAAAAAATAAAAAAAAAAAAATAAAAAAATAAATTAAAAACGAAAAAAAAAAATAAAAAAAAAAAAAAAGAAAAAAAGAAAATATAGAATTTTTGTGGGATAATTATAAATCAAATTTAATGAAATTAAATTTTTAAGCTGCCAATATAAAACATAATTAAAACAATAAAAAAATAAATACAAATAATAAGAAAAAAGATTAATAAATCATATAAAAAAGTATAAATTAAAAATTTAATGCGTTATTAAAAATAAAATAAATAAAAATAAAAATAAAAATAAACATATCTACTATTTTATAATTTATAATTTATAATTTTATAGTTTTTTTTTTTTTTTTTAATTTATAACTTTATAGTTTTATTTGGCTTTTGTTGTTGCTGAACTATATTTTTTCTTTTTTTGGTGGGATTATTATTACCCCAGAATGAGTCATCTTTGCTTGAAGTTGTATTACTACTAGTGTTACCAAAAATATTTAAATTGCTTTTATTGTTACTGTTACTACTATTTCCAAAATTAAAACTAAATTTAGTTGGTTGTACATTATTTATTTTATTATTTGTTGCTGGTTTATTATTGGATTTATTATTAATTTTTTCTAATTTATCGTTTTCTTTAATGATTGAAAAAATATTAAATGAGTTTTCGTTACTTTTTATTTCTGGTTCTATTGTTGTTGGTTGTTGTTTTATAAATAATGATCTCCATGATGTTGAAACTTTGATACTATCCTTTTTAACTTTTGTTGCATTTGGGTTTTGAAGCTGTTGTTTCTTTGGTGATTTGGATTTTATATTTTCTTCTTTTTCACCTTCATTTTCGCTATCACCTTCACCTTCACTTTCGTTTTCACTTTCACCTTCATTTTCACTTTCGCTTTCGCTTTCACTTTCATTTTCATTTTCATTTTCATTTTCATTTTCATTTTCATTTTCATTTTCATTTTCATTTTCATTTTCATTTTCATTTTCATTTTCATTTTCGCTGTCACTTTTTTCTTTTTCTTTGATTTCAGTATCACTATCTGATGATGAAGAGTCACCGCTGTTATCTAATTTAATTTCTTTTTCTTCATTATCTATGTCCATTTTACTTTCTTTATTTTCATTTTCTGATGATGAAGAGTCACTATCTGAATCTGATTTACTTTCTTCTTCACTCTCACTTTCTGATGACGATGAATCACTGCTATTTTCTTCCTTATCACTTTCCTTGGCTTCTATTTTGCTATCATTTTCTTCTTTTTCTTCTTTTTCTTCTTTTTCACTTTCTGATGATGAATCACTACTGTTTTCTTTTTGGTTAGTTTCTATTATTGTTTCATTTTCATCTTTTTCACTTTCACTGCTACTGCTATCACTTTCTTTTTCACTATCACTATCATTATCGCTTTCACTGCTACTGCTGTCACTATTACTGCTTTCACTGCTACTGTTGCTTTCTTCCTTTTCACTTTCTGATGACTCGCTACTACTACTTTCACTTTCTTCTTTTTCAACATATTCTAAACTTTCGCAATTTAATAAATTTGGATCATATCTTTGAACTTTTTTCCATACAATTGATCTTTTAACAAGCTTGGGTTTATTTTCCATACTGGTATCATTTGAAACATAACTATTTTTACTGTCATTATTATTATTACTATTATCTTCGTCATCGTCAGAATCAAATCTAACGACATCTTCTTTACTGTATGAATATGAAACTTGAGTAACTTTAGCTTGCTCCATTCTTCTTTTTCTAAAAGCCTCTTGTCTTTTTCTTTCACCTTCTTCTGCTGATTGTTTTTTAATTTCATAATCTATAACCTTTTCTTCATATGGCTTTCTATTTTCAAAATTATCATATTTTTCACCTTGATCATTATATTCTTGATTGTTATAATTATTACCATCTTCTTCACCATAATAACCTTCATCACCACCTTCATAATACTCATCTTGATTATAATTTTCTTCATTATTGTTATAGTTGTTTTTATTATTATAGTTATTATTATTATTATAATCATTATTATTATTATTGTTGTTGTTATTATTATAACTATTATTGTTATTGTTATTATTGTTATTGTTATTTTTATTATTATTAAAATGTGAACTGTCATAAAAATCACTTTCATAATAGCCACCATAACCACTAAACTTATTATTACTATTATTGCTATTACTATTATTACTATTGTTATTGTTATTATAATTATTATAGTTGTTATTGTTGTAGTTATTAGAGTAGTTTTCATTTTCTAACATTTCTTCATCATCAAATGAAACAGTTGATTCTTTATTATTACTATTATTTGTATCTTCATTATCTAACAAATTATTTAAAAATTGATAATCTCTATCATAAATTTGATGTCTAGTTGAAGATTTTGGTTCTCTGCCAAATTCTGGATGTTCTTTTTTATATTCTAAATATCTTTCATACATTGCAAACATTGATTTTTTTTCTAATCTTAATCTTTTCTTCCATTTTGTAATATCTTCTTGTTTTTTCTTTTCAAATTCTTCTTCTTCTAAAAGACGTTGCTCTTCTAGTTTCTTTAATTTTTCTTCTTCTAATTTTTCCTCTTTTAATTGTTGTTCTTTTAATTTATCTAAATAATTTGGTTTTGCTTTTTGAATGATTAAATTTGAACCTTTCCATTTAGTTTTATTTAAATTGCTTACAGCTAAATAAATAAAAAAAAATAAAAATTAAATTAGTATTATTGATTATTGATTATTAATTTTTATTATTTTATAATAAATTAAATACCTTTATGAAATGAATCTAATGATGGAAAATAACAATTTATATATGCAAAACCTTTATACTGATTTGAAACTATATCGTTTATAAATTCTAGTGATTCTACTTTGATATCTTTAACGAATGATACAAATAAATAATTGATTTCTTCTAATTTAATATTTTGATTTAAGCCGCCAACATAGAGTCTGAGAGTTTGTGGATACTTTGATTCTTCAAGTTTACGCAATCTTTCTTTTTCTAATTGTTTTTCTTTTTCTAATTTTTCTTTCTCTTCCTGTTCTTTACGTGCATCTTCTTCTACTTTTAATTGTTCTTCAACTAATTTTTGTGCTTCCTCTTCTTCTTTTTTCTTTTCCAACTCTTCTTTTTCTTTTTGTAAACCTTCATAGTAAAAGTCCATCATACCACCAAATCTAAATGCGAAATCATCTGCCATTTTATTGATAGTTTTAAAATATTTATTTATTTTTAAAAATAAATAAACAACAAATATAAACAATAACAATTAAAAAATAAAAGGAATTTATAATTTGAATAAAAAAAAAAAAAAAAAAAAAAAAATGAAAAAATAGTTTTTCGTTTTTTTTAAAAAAAAAAAAAATTAAAAAATTAAAAAAGGAAATAAAAAAAATAAAGAAAAAAAAAAGATGATAATAATATAATATAAAATATAAAATATATAAAATAATATTTTTAATAATATGCTAATGAATAGTTAAATTCATATTAACTATTCTTTTTATTTTAAAAATTAAAAATTAAAAATTAAAAAATTAAAAAAATTAAATAAAACAACTAATCCACTAATTCGTAATGTTCGGTTGATTGTTTTTCTTTAACTGTTAAAAATAAATGAACCCTTTTGTTAAATACTTTTTCTAAATCTTTTTTAGCTTCTAAATAAATTGATTTGATTACTGATCCATCTTTACCCAAAATCAATGACTTGTGAGATGCTTTTGTAACAATAAAATCTTGATCAATTCTTAAAGCACCATCTTTTGTTGGTGTCCAACCTCTGGTACTTTGAATAACTTTATATGGAATTTCATCTTTTAGTTTTGAATAGAGTTTTTCTTTAATAATTTCGCTTGCTCTAAAAATATCAGTTTGATCAGTTTTTACCTCTTCTTCAAAGATCCATTGACCAAGTTTTGCTTTTCCAACCAAATATTCTTTTAAAGAGTCTAATTTAACATTGTTTGTCGCCGAAACTACAAATGTATCACTGAATATATTGCCTTCATTGAGCTCAGAGATAAGTTCGACCAAATCCTCCTTCTTTCTGACCAAGTCGACCTTGTTGATAACCAATATAAAATCCTTTTCGTCTTCAATTTCGCCATTTTCTATATCTTCTAATTTTGCTTTTTTTAATAATTCGATCATTTGATCTTCCAAGTGGTTGATAATGTATTTAGTATCGGGTTGGTTGTTATTGGTTGCATCGACCACCATTAAAACCAAATCTGATTCTTTAACTGTAGTCCATGCTAAATTTACAAATTCACGTACATTTGTATTCTTATTGAAATTTTTGATCATACCTGGTGTATCGTTGAATAATAGTTGTGTATCTCCTTCAGTGTATACACCCAATATTGCATCTCTGGTAGTGTGTTCAATGTGTGATACAGCACATACCTTTTCACCCACAATTGCATTTACCAAAGTTGATTTACCAGCATTGGGTGCACCAATAACTGCGATATTTAATTTCTTTGCATTCTTTCTTGGTGGTGGTACTCGAAATGATTCTGTGTTGTAAAGGTTTGGTGGAGTAATAGAATGTGTTTTTACAACACGCTTATATTTTGGTGTATGTGATCTCTCTTGTCTAAGCTCCTCTTCCTTTTGGTTGATTAATTCTAATTGATGCTGAATTGGGTCTTCAAATCCATATCTTTTTTTCATAATACTATAGCATCTTATTATATTTTTATTATTATTAAAATTATTATAATTTATTATTTTAGTAATCGATTTTATCATTTTTTTAAAATAGATTTATTTATATATATATATAGGGGGGTGTGTGATAATTATAATAATTTTTCAAAAAAATAAAAAAAAAGAAAAAAAAAGTTATAAAAGTAAAAAAAATAAAATAAAATAAAAAAATAAAAATTTCGTTTTTTTTTTTTTAAAATTAATTTTTTTTTTTTAAAATTAATTTTAATAAAATGAAATGTAATAACAATCACAATAATAATAATAATAATAATAATAATAATAACTATTACAATGATAAATTGTTTTTTAGAGTATGGAGATCAATTATTATTCGAAAAAATATTTTTTATTTTTTAAACAGTACCTCCAAAAACTGCAGCTACAATGGGACAACTAATTTCAGGGAAATGGCCCAAAATAATAATTTCGAAATGATTTTGGATAAATTAAAATCAAATCACTTTATATATTTCGATTATAGCGGTTCTAAATTATTACACAAATTATTAAACCATAATTCAAATATATACAGTAATCAAATAAATGAAATTTATAAATTATTAAATCAAAAAAATTATTTTATAACAAATCATTATTTTAATAATTTTAATAATTTTAGTTATTTAAATTTTAATAATTGTGGTTTTAATAATAATAATAATAATAATAATAATAATGATGATAACAATACCATTGTCAATAATAATAAATTAATAAACTCTAAAATAAATCAATATTATAAACTATATACTTTAATAGAAATTGAATTAAAAAAGTTAAATAATAATATTAAAAAAATTCAAAGTTTTTATAAAATAATAATAAAAAATTATAACGATTGTTTAAACAATAATAATAATTATTATTATTATAATAATAAAGATAATGATTTAGTTCAACCAAAGAAAAAAATAAAATTAAACCAAAATAATATTTTTAAAGAAAAATTAAATGAAAATGATATTAAAAATCAAATTTATTCAAACGAATTGGTACCAATATTTACAAATTTAAATTTAAATAGTTTTTTAATACCTTTAACTAACGAAAAGGTCAGTTTTTTTCAAGAGGAGTTGGGAATATACATTGGTCCAATAATGAACAATAGAAATAACAAATATTTTGGTGGCGATATTGAAATAGAATGTTTATTTAACAAAAAGGTGTTAGATGAGTGCATAGATATTTTGCTAACTGATAGAGAAAATAGTATATCATTAATAAAATACTATACAAATAATATTCAACACGCAACTATATTTATACTTTCTCAAATAAAGAGGTCTAGAGGTTTAATATATCAACCCAGTTATCTTAAATTCATAGAATACATAAAGAACAATAGAAATACATTGGATCTCGAGTCATTAGTATCTTCTGGCGAATTGTATTTAATTAGTGGGGTCAGTAATACTAAAATGTCGAGCAGAGTTCTATTCTTTGGTAACTATTACATCTACCACTGTTTATTAAAAGAAAATTTCAAACAAATCGAAGTAAACGTTTTCAATTGGATCACCGACTCGTACATAAACTTATCATTAATTTTAGGATTTTCAGTTTTCAAAAAATCAATTTCATCATTCAAATTTTTCTTGAAACTCTTTGAAAGAAAAAAAATATTTTATAATACAAACGATTATTTCGAAGATGTTGTAGAAGAAACGGAAATGGCTAATCAAAAATCAATTTTATATTTTGACAATATATTTTTAAGTAATTTAGAACCAGAAGTAATTTCATTTATTTTTAAAATTATTATAGTTTATCACAGTTCAGATTATTTAGAATGGTTGTTAAATTCAAGCACACAAACAAAAGAAAAATATCACAATTTTATAAACACCAACTTCAGTACTTTATTAGGCTACCACTTACAACAAAGAGATGATATAAACAACAAGCAGCCAAACGATGCCAATGTAAAAAAGATTTTAGTGTTATTTGAACATTTGTTTTTTAAAAATCAAAAAGTCATAGATCTAGATATACCATTAGCTCAAATTCACCAATTATTTATTCAACTCCTCAAAAAATATAATGGAGAAAATACAGTTTTCAAAGAAACACAACATTGTTTTATTATTTCACTCTATAAAAAAACCCTACATTTAGATTCAAACAACTTAATAGATATTTATAATCAACTAAATAAATTAGATAATAACAATACAATTAAACAAATAATTAATAAAACGAAATATAATGGACCCAATATTTTTATAAAAAACATTCTAAATTCAGTAATAAATAAAGATAGTAATTCAATATACAAAATAATAAATTTTCTAAATAACAACAGTAGCAGCAATAATAATAATATCAAATTTGGTTTTATAGATGACAGTTTTAATTATAAATTATTATTTAATAATTTAGTATCAATAGAAAAATTATCATTAAAAACATTTGTTAAAAAATCGGTAAAAAAAGGATTGGTTTCTAGAAATAATGCTATGCAGCTAATAGAATCAACAACAAATATAAAACTTTTAAAGAGTTTTAAAAAAAAAAATTTAATACCCATAAAGTTTCATTTAAAGGATTATTTTGAAGAGAATCAAACTGAATATAAACTCCAGCAAGATAGTTACGAACAACTTAAAACAACATTAGGCGACATTTGCAATTTCAAAAATAAATCTCAAGATTGGTACCAGTCCTTAGAATACCCTTTTACTTATCATTCTGCTCCAATTGGTCAGCTACCTGTAATTCAAATTAATGCAAAAGGGAATGAAAAAGAAAAGGAGGAAGAAATAACCTTTGAAGAGCTATTAAAAAAAGGATACGACTATTTAATAGACTATATAGAAAAGAATGGAATCAATCAAATCAAATCTATACCTAGCTTGGATCAGTTTACACTTTTAAGAAATATTTCAATAGAATGGTTCATGCGTCTATATGAGCCATTAATTAAATATTATTTCAATGATAAAACCGAATGTTTATTGATACTACTTGTCAGTCATAGAAATTTAGAAATATTTCAATTCTTGTGGGACCATCATTTAAATAGCAAAGAGAAAAAAGAGAAATTCCTCATCTACCTTTTCTTTAACGTTTTCAATTGGATCGAATCAATACCACAAACTAATCAACTCATTGAATATATTCTTAAAGAAAATCAAGGTTATATTTTAAATTTAAATTTAGATGATCAAGACATTCAAATTATTCACAAAATTGCCATTTTAAAAGCACCTCTTTCAGTATACAAATTGATTAGATCCATTTTTACCGAATTCAAATTCAAAATAGATTACGATATATTCAGATTAATCATATTTATAAAGTATTCAAATGGTCGTTCGTTTATTGACTCCTATAGTAGATACGATGTTGTGGAATATCTTTATGAAACCAACCAAATCGATAATTTAAAGGAACTTATAGGCCAAGAAAATTTAGAAAATAAAATGGTTATTCAAGACTTTAAAGATTCAGATCTAACAGATTATAACTCAAAAGAATATCCTGATGGTTTTATAGTAGTTTCTAAATCAATGTTTATTTTAATTCATACAATTATAAAATTACAACAATAAATATTAATAATAATCACTGGGAATGTGATAGAAAAAAAAAAATATTATTATTGTAAAAAAAACTATTATTTTTGTGGAGTGACACTGACTCAATTTTATTTATAAAAGAAAAAATATGATGATAGTTTTATTATAAAATTCATATGAAAAAAAATATCAACAAAAACAACCAATGATTTCGATAGTGGGCAATCTGAATAAAATCTTTTTTTTTTAAAAAAAAATTTTATTTTTTTATTATTTTTTTTATTAATTTCCATAGAGGGGTGAATCTTGGTAATATCTCTCTTTTTTTTTTGAAAAAAATTATTCCAAAAGCAATAAAAAAAAGGTTCTTTTTTTTTTTGGATAATTTTTTTGATTGTGAGTCTTGCAGAATGAAGAAAAAATATTTTTTTTTTTTTATATTTCATGAAAAACGCAATACGAAAAGTTAAATAAAAAAAAAAAAAACTAACTATTGTGGTAAAAAAAAAAAAAGTTCATTTACGTAATCCTTATTGTTATATAAATAAATAAATATAAATATATAAATATTTATAAAAACAAATATATTTCCATTAATATAGGTATTTATTATAATCCATTTATTAAATCTATATTTGTAATAGTTTATGATTAATCAATAAAATCATTATCATAATAAATTTTATTTAAATTTAAAAATAAAAAAAAAAAAATTCAAAAAAAAAAAAAAAATCTTTTTTTTTTTTTTATTTTTTTATTTTTATATTTTATTATTTTCCCTCATTTTTATTATAATAACCAATCTATATAAAACACAACTGTTTTAAAAGAAATAAAACATTATAAAATAATTTCTTTTAATAAAAAATAGATAAACAATAATAATTTTATTTTATTTTGTGTTTTATTTATATTTTAAAAATAGACATTCACAAATATTTTGTGTGTAAAAATAAATCAATAATATTATAATTTTAGTTGTTGGTTTGGATGGGTGTTTATCTTGTGGTTAGTGTGTTTACAATTTTAATTTTTTTTTTAAATCTCAGTACCACTCACATTCACAAAATACATAATAACCTATAACTTAACTTCACACACCTACTATTTTTAACCAATCTTTTTTATTTATTTGTTTTGTTTGTGATTTTTTTATAACCTAAAATTACAACTAAATAATCATACCTTTTTGCGAACGTTAAATTTTTTTTTTTTATAACTCACATTTATAAAATTTTTATTTTTAAAATTCATTTAATTTTTTTAAAATTAATAATAATATAACAATAATAATAACAATATTAACAAAAATAAATACATATAATTATACATAAAGAAATGGAATCAGTAGAAGATGATTTAGAACAATTACTCAATGAATTAACTTCACCTAATATTTTAAATAACATATCCGAAAAGTTAAAACAAAGTGAACCTTCAGAATTTTCAGAAAATCATTCAAATCATAATCACAATCATAACCACGGTTATAATCAGAATATAAATCATGCACAACAATATTATCAAACAAATTTTGATGATGAAACTGGTAGTAATGCAGAAGATGTTAGAAGGTTATTAGAAGAGACAGACTCAAATTATGGGGGTAGTACTGTACATTCAATGAACACAACACCAAATCTTTATTCAATGAGAAATCTTTTACACACAGAGTTATCATTAGATGCACTTAAACCAGTATCAGAAAATTCACCATTACATATGAGTGCAACAAGACCAGTTTCAACTTCAGTTAGGTTACCAAGATTAAGTATTTGCGAAGAGGACGATTCAGAATTATCATCCGACGATGTCTCATCATCAGACTCCGATTATGACGATGATTCATCAACTTCATCATCTCTATCTTTAAGAAACTATAATAATGCTGCAGATAATAATGTTCAAATTAAAGATGATGACTCTGATATGGAATCATCTGAATCATCTGAACAATATGGTTCACCATCGAATCAAAGAAGAAAGGAAATTTTAAAATTAGAAAAGCAAATTCAGATTCAAGAGAAAAAGAGAATATTAAAAGAAAAGATTCAAGAGCAAGATGATGCCGCTGCTGAAGAATTATCATTAAATAAAGCATCTGCTTCAACAACAGCAACAGTAACAACCACTACCACTTCCACTACCACCACTACTATAATAAGTGATTCATTGCCTCCAGTTCCATCAAGTAGTAAATCTAGATCTGTTTCAGTGTCATCTAATCATGAAGTTAGTCACCCAATTAGTAAAGAAAGAAAAAGATCAATTTTGCAATCATTCGAAGAGGGTTCACCATTAAGATCATCATCAAGACTACCATCATCAAGAGGTGGCTCAATTAAAATTAAAGTTTCAAAGGTTTTAGAAGAAGAAATACAATTACAACAAGAGTTTGAAAAGCAAGAGCAAATTAGAAACTCTGCAAGATTAAGCCAAGTTATTAGAGAATTAAATATGAGTACTATATTTGATCAAAAATCAGATGATGGTGAAACAAAACAAGAAGAATCACAACAAGAAGAGCCACAACAAGAAAAAGTTAAAACTTTAACTCCCGAAGAAGAGGAAATCGAAATAGCTAAACAAGAGGCAATTGAAAGAATGAGAGAGCAAGTATTTTCGCAATTAGATTTACTAGAGGATCCAATTAAAGCTACAGCTAAACTATCATCAAAAGCTGGTGAACCATCCAAAAAAGATCAAGATTCAGAAGCATCAGCCTCATCACCAACATTAGAGCCATCAACAGTTATTCCACTTCCAGGAAACCAAGCTAATAGATTTTTAAATACTCAAACTAGACCAAGAAAAGATTCAATTTCTGATCGTTGGGATATTGGTAGAAAAGAACAACCACGTCGTTCAATGACTTTACACATTCAAAGAGTTGGTGAAGATTTTTCAGTAAAGAGACAAGAGGTAAAGAAAGTTAACGCCGAGCTTGAAAAAATTTTAGTTCATATTTCACTTGTTGATCAATCACATAAAGTTATTTGTATCACCGAAGATTTCCTTGTACAAGATGTAATATTATTATTTGCAGAAAAATTAGGTCTAGTTCAAACAGAGTTCTTTTCATTAGCCGAAGTTACAGTAGATGGTTATGATCGTTGGTTAGATCCAACAAAGTTAGTTAAAGAAGCTGGTATTAAAAATCTTTCAAAATTAGTTTTCAAAATTAAATACTTCAAACAACCAAAAAGATTATCAGATTCAAAAGCAGTTCACCTTTATTATTTACAAATTCAACAATCTGTTGTTAGTGGTACCTATCCATGCTCCGAAGCAATGTCATTTAGATTAGCTGCACTTCAGTTCTATATCACATTTGGTGCTCATGATAAAGAAAAACATGCTCCAGGTTTCCTTGATTCAGGTTCGCTCTCAGAATTTATACCAGAAGCTTTCTTTTTCGAACTACCTGATGAAATTATTCAAAAACGTCTCTTCCTTTTACACTCTCAAATTAAATGTAGTTCTGTTATTGAAGCTAAACTTAGATATCTCGATTTATCAAATAAAATCCCAACTTTTGGTGTAACCTCATTCCAAGTTCATGATGGTGTTAGAGAGTCATCAATTGCACGACATAAACGTAATTTATGTGTTGCTGAAGATGGTGTTTTAATCTCAAGAAAAGATAGAGCAGGTTATGACTTTTTCAGTTACAAAGAAATTATTGGTTATCAAGTTACAACAAGAGGTCTTAAAATTCAAATTCCACATTCATCAGTTACACCAAATACTTCAGAAAATATAAGCTTTGATACATCCTCATATGAACAATCAGCAAATATAGTCGAGTTAATGTCTGGTTATAAATATTTTATTCAACATGACGAGTTTATTAGAGGTATTGGTTCACCAATAGAAAAAGTTGATTTAAATATTTCTGTACTTTTACCTCTATTCCAATCTCCAAAAGTTAGAACAAAGAGTGATCCACTCCGTAGTCGTTTAGAGTTATTTAAAATCAATTATTTAACACTTTGTCAAAATTTCCATACCAAACCAATTTTAAAATTAATAGAACAAATCGATCATGTTTTAGATAAAGAAGGTGGTTTTAGAGAAAACTTAAATTATGATAAAATCGAATTACCATCATTAAATTTAAAAGGTTCGGATTTATCATTTATTGCTGATGCATTAAAAGACTCATTAAATACTGTGTATGTATTAAATACTATAATATCCAAAAAAAAAATATTTTATTAATTATTAAATTTCTTTTTAATTATTATAGAATCGAGGAAGGTGAAAGTATAGTTGAAAATTTAAATATTTTAACTTTAGATTTATCAACCAATCAAATGTTAGCACTTGATGCTTTTGAACCATTAAAAATCATTATGACCTGTAATACTATTGTTCATTTAAATTTAAAAAATATTGGTTTACCAAACAAATTGGTAATGGTAAGTTAAAATAATATTAGTTTTTTTTTATTTTAATTTATTAATAATTTTTTTTATTATTTTAGTCACTTGTAACAATTATAGAAAAATATCCAAAAATTGAAACATTAAATATTAGTAAAAATAGAATTGATGAATCAGGAGTTAGAGTTATTTTAAGAGCTATTAAGAATTTTAATAAAAATATTGAAACCCTTGGATTCGAGGATATAAATTTAACAGATTCAGGTTGTAAAGTTATTGAAAAACTTTTATCAAATAATAAAACATTAAAGAGTTTAAATATTTCAAAGAATAAAATTTCAGAAGCAGGCTTTAAAATTATATTTGAAGGTATAAAGAAGGCTACAAATTTACAAGATTTAAATATTAGTGGTAATCCAATTCAAAGTAAAATCATGACAAAATTCATCAAATATATAGCATCGAGTGAAACAGCAATTCAAAAACTCAACATTGGTAACACTGGATTAAATACAGGATTGGGTTCAGAAATTCAAAAGTATCTTGTTAGTACAAGTTGTCATCTTACCTCTTTGGATGTTGCCTACAACAATTTGGGTGCTGATGGTACAAAGAATATAATTAAAGGTGTTGTAAATAATCATATTATTAATGATTTATCACTCTCTGCCAACAAGATTGACTATAATGGTTGTAATGAACTTTGCAATTTATTAGAGTTATCATCTGCCAATACCAAAACTCTATATATAAGATATTGCGAACTTAGTTCAAGATCGCTAGTTAGAGTTTGCAAAATGTTAGAGTTAAATGCCACCATCAATGTTTTAGATTTATCAATGAATAAGTTCTCCAAACAAACTGCCACAGCCATCGCACACTCTTTAGAAAGAAACAGAACCCTTGAAGATTTATTTTTAACCCAAGCCAGTATGTCACACACTGAAATCGATATCATCTCAGCAGGTATTCAAAAGAACCAAAAAATAAAAAGATTGTTCTTGGATGTTAACCCAATCGGTAAAAAAGGTATTAATAGTTTAGCTCAAATGGTAAATAACAACACCTCTCTTGAAGCTCTCGGCCTTAGAAATACAAATCTCAATAGCAAAGATATTTTAGAATTCCTTAAACAATTAAATCAAAACATTTCAATTAAAACAATTAATCTAACAGAAAACAATTTAGAAAAAATAACACAACAAACAAAACTTTTAATTAGTGACCAACTTAAAAGACTCCAACAAGTTAATATCCAATATTAAAAATTATCATATAAAATATATAAATAAATACACTAAATTATAACTATGTATATAAATAAAATATAAAAAATACAATATATAATAGTTGGTATTTAGAAACCTAATATATAAAAACCTAATATATAATATATAAAAAAAAAAAAAAATAAAAGTTTTTTTAAATTTATCTTTTAAATATTTATTTTTTGTCTTTTTCTACCTTCCCCATTATTTCTTTTGATTGATGGCAGTTGGGTAAAGTTTTGATTAATCGATGATACGTTGGTTGGATCGTTATCATTTGGTTTTTTATTGTCTTCTGATTCATCATTATTATCAATTGAATCTTCTTCATCATTACTCTTTTTATCATTTGAAACCTCGTCTGTATTCTTTTCGTTGTTATTTATTTCTTTGTTTATTTTATTATTGTTATCTACTGAAATATTATTGTTATTTTTATTTGGTTGTTGGGGTAAAGTTGATGTTTGATTTGGTTTTGGACCCAATGGTTCAGCAAAAACTACTTTAAGGGTATGTCCTGGTGGATATTTGATACCATTAAGTTCATTTTTTGCCATCAATGCTGCTGCTGGAGTGCTATAGTTAACATATGCAAATCCTTTAGATTTTCCATTGTTTTTATCTTTCTTTAAATCGCAATATTCCATACCTGGATATCTTGAAAATAAACGATAAAGATTCTCTTGTGAAATTGATTTGTGACAAACAACAAATAGCCTTTGTCTTGAAACTGGTAAGGCATATGGGTTTGGATAGTCTACAAAATTATTTGGTAAAACTGCTGAAATTGAACTAAGGTTACCAACAATACCGACATCTTCCTTGTCGCCTTTTAAACTATTAATATTTACATTTTTAATTGGTTTTTCGTTATCTTCATTTTCTAAATTATTTTTTTCACTATTATTATTTACATTATCATTAATATCTATAGTATTATCATCTATATTATTAATGGTGTTGTTTGTATTAGTGTTATTATTGTTATTATTGCTATTGGTTGTATTAGTTGTATTATTAGTTGTACTATTAGTTGTTGATTGAGTATTATTTTTTGTATCACTGCTGTTGGTTAATTGTGTATTATTATTTGATTGGGAGTTATTATCAATTAAAATATTATTAAATTTTTTTATCATTAATTCATTTGGGTTATCTTGATTTAAAAGTTGTTGTTGTTGTTGTTTATTGTATTTAACTTTTGGTTGGGCTATAAAAACTTTTATTGGATGCTCTTCACCATTTTTCAAACCCTCTTCTTCATTAATGGTTTCCATTGCAATACATGCTGTTGAGGATTTTGAATATTTTACAAAAGCACAACCCTTTGATTCATTAGAGTGTTTTTCACGAATTAATTTAACATGTTCCAGATTACCAAAATCTTTAAATTTATTATTTAATTCTTCTTCTGTTATATTTTTATTACACACAACAAAGAGACGAGAGTTGGGTGGATGGTCCTCTGGATCAGTTGATAAAAGTGGTTTATTCTTGGTCCCTTTAGCTTCTGCAATTAGTACTTTGATTGGTGTTTTTGTGATATCAGCATTTAGTATTTTACCATTCATTTCCTCTATTGCCAAAGCTGCAGCTGATGTTTTTGAATATTTAATATAAGCATAACCCTTTGACTCGTTGGTTTCTTTATCTATAACAATTCTACATGATTCAATGGTACCAAATGTTTTAAAACTTTCATAAAGATTATTTTCTGTTAAATTTTTACTGCATAGTATGAAAATTCTTGAGAATGGGACCAGCTCTTGATCCTCCGAGAGTTCTTGGTTTGTTTGCTGTGGTTGTTGCGATTGTGGTTGTTGCTGTTGTGGTTGTTGATTCTGGTGGGATGGGTTAGTTGATTTATTTTTATGTTGTGGTAATGGATTTGGCTGTGGGATTTGGGGTTGGGCAAATGGGTTTTGAAAAGCTAGAATATTTGGCTGTATTGGTTGATTTGGTTGTGGTAATAAAGATGTATTGATTGGTGGTTGTGGTAATGGTTGCATAAATGGTGTTGGGAATGAAAACGGTTTTTGTTGTTGCATTTGTTGTTGTTGCATATATTGTTGATTTATAAAGTTTGAATAGTGAAGATAAAACTGAGTTGAATCATGATATGGGTTTTGGTTTGGAAAATAATTTGGATACATCATTGGTTGTGGTATAGGAGGTTGTAACAATGGATTTGCTAAAGCATTTGGGTTATATTTAAATGTGTTATTGCTATTTATGTTAAATGGATTATTCATTCCACTGCCTAATAATGAAGAGGATGAAACTTTACTTGGTTTAAATGTATTTGTTGGTGTTTTACTTATTTTGTTTTGTGTTGCATTGTTTGTATTGGTTGCTGTGTTTGCTGTTAAAGAGTTTGTTGTTTTCTTTTTTTCTATAGGTGATGTTAATGTAACAGAACTTGCTGTTTGGTTATCATTTGATTTATTATTTGTTGTTGAGGATGTTGTTGGTTTAATTTTAACTTCATTATCTTTATTATTACTATTATTACTATCCTTGTTATTAATACTATCTTTATTTTGTTTATTGGGTGATACTATGTCATCTTTTAAATTAAATTCTTCAATAGATTTGATAGTGTTTAGGGGCAATGGCTCTATTGAAACTTCACTAATATTAACATTTTTAATTGTACTTTCTATTGAATCATCGTCATAGTCAAACCTTTTTAAAGACCCTTTATGATTATAATAACGTCTACGGTCGTGGGAATCTAGGTCATCTGAAGAATCATTGTTATCGTCTATTTCGTCAGAGTCATCGTCATAGTGATTGTTTTGATTTGCAACTAAACTTTGGTCTTCATCTTCATCATCTGAATAATTTTCATTGAAACTGTTTGAAAGAACTTGTCTTTTATTTTGACCTGCTACACGATGTAATAATTCGACTTGTCTCTTTGGTACCTTAAATTCAATTACCTTATCTTTTGGTGGTGATTCATTTGTTGCAGTATTTGGTTTGGTTGCTGATGTAGTTGCTGATACATTTGTTGATGATGTTGTTGTCGTTGTTGTTGTTGTTGCTGGTACTGATGTTGATGGTGATATTGATGTTGATGCTGTTGTTAAAGTTGGAGCTGTTATGATGGCTGCAGAACCTGTTTCAATATTTGTATCTGTTTCATCTTCACTATCTGACCTCTCACCTTCTTCTAATGGTGATTTTATGTTTTCAACAGTATTTTCACTACTACTACTATCACTATCACTATCACTATCATTTTTATTACTGCTATCTTCATTACCATTATTCTTTTTTATTATTTCCACTGTATTTTCATTATTATCTTCGTTTCCTTTATTTATATTATTTTCGATTTTATTTTCATTATTACTCACAATCTCGGCTTCCTTATTTTTTTCTTCTTTATTTATATTTATATTATTATTAATTTTTTCACTTTTTATTATATTATTATCTGTATTACTGTTTTCTATATTGGTATTGTTTATTTTATTTTGTGACACATTATTATCTATATTATTCTCTTTTGAATTTATATCTTTTTTTTCTTCTTCCATTTATATGTACAAATTTTATGAAATTAATTAAAAAATAAAAAAAAAAAAAAAAAAAATCAAAATTTCTATTTTTTTTTTTTTTTTAAATTTAAATAAATTTAAATATTTTTTTTTGGAAAAAAAAAAAAAAAATACCAAATACAAAAAAAAGATAAATCATTATTAAAATATAAAAAAGAATTTCTTTTATTTCTTTTTTACGATTTGAATTTATATTTTAATTAAAAAAAAAAAATTATAATTTTATTTATTTTATTTATTTATATATTAAAAAATTTTTTATTCTTGATTTTTTTCTTTTGGTTGAAGTTTTTTGGCAATGACTTCTTTTTGAGCATTTAATAATTCGCTGGCTTCTTCTTGTGAAATTAATTTTGGAGCTACTTTAATTTCTAATTCTTCTGAAACAATTTCTTGAGTATTTGGTTTGAATACTAATTCTGTGTTTACTAAATCAACTGGTGTTGGGGTATAGGTTGGGAATGGTGGTGCTTCTCTCCATTTCATTGAAGTTGAATCGATAATCTTTAAATAGGAACCTTTTTTACCTGGTACAGCACCTTTAACCATAATACAATTTAATTCATTATTAATTTTAAGAATTTGAAGATTTTTTACTGTACAACTTTCACCACCTAATCTACCTGGCATCTTTCTATTTTTAAAAACTCTACCTGGGGTCTAAATATTAAATAATAATAGTTAGATTATATGTTTAATCGAATTTTTATATCTTTTAATTAACCCTGTAATATCTGTATTGTCCACATTTATAAATTTTCATTGATTATTGATTATTGATTATTGATTATTGATTTATTTTTTCTAAACTAATCTTGATTTTTATTCTAAAAGTAAAAAAAATTATTATTGTAATGTTATAAACTTACTTGTCTATTACCAGTAGCACCAATTGATCTATGAGTAAGTGAAACACCATGTGTAGCTGGTTGACCTCTGAAATTCCATCTTTTCATACCACCAGCAAAACCTTTACCACTACTTTTACCTTTAACAGTAACTAATTGACCTGGAACAAAATGTCTTGCAAGGATTGGTGTACCCAAGTCAATATTTAAAGCATTATTTGTGACTTTAAATTCCATTAAAATTCTTTTTGGTGTAACATTTGCTTTAGCAAAATGACCACGTAATGGTTTTGGGACATTTTTCATACGAATTTCATCAGCACCAATTTGAACCATATTAGCACCATCTTTAATTTTTCTTTTAACTTGAGTGACTTGATTGTTTGGGATTTGAATAACAGTGACTGGATAAGCCTCAGCACCAATATAAGTTGTCATCATACCAACCTTTTTACCAATTGCACCCATACGAGTGGTGGCAATAGTCCATCCACTTTCTTTATCACGCTTTAATTTATCTAATGAAATTTTTTGACCAAAAGATGGTTTTGGAATTGTAACTGGTCTTTGGAAAATTGATCTCTTTAATAAACTTTCATTGCTGATTGTTATTTTTCTCATTGAGTTTATAATTTTATCCATCTTTATTGCTTATCTATATAACATATATATATATACTATATTATTGTTTTTTTATTGTTATTAATGATTTGTTATTTTAATAAAAAAAAAATGATTTATAATATATAATTAATGTTGTTGAAATAAAAAGACGAAAACAAAAAAAATTTTAAAAAAAATTTTAAAAAAAAATGAAAAAAAAAAAATGAAAAAAAAAAAAAAATTAAAAAAAAAAAAAATTATTTTTTATATTTTCATTTTATTATTTGTAAACATATGTCTTTAAATAGACAAAATAGTTAATATTTTATTTTTTTAAAACAATTTGTAAGAAAAAATTATTTATTGGAAAAAAAAAATAATGTTATTAAAGAAAGAATTAAAATATTTTAAACACACTCAACACACATTAATTTTTAAAAATTAATTTAAATTATTTTTTTTTTATTTTTTTACTTTTTTTTTTTATTTTTTTATTTTTTTATTTATTTTCCATCAAATATATCTATAAAAAGTAAAGAAAATGACATTCAAAATTTGTGTTTTAATTTCTGGTAATGGTACAAATTTACAAGCTATTATTGATTCAATAGAAAATAAATATTTAGAGAATGTAAAAATAGAAGTTGTAATTTCAAATAAAGAAACTGCATATGGATTAGAAAGAGCTAAAAAGGCATCAATTCAAACACGTGTATTTTCACTTCAAAGTTATCTTTCAAAATCATCAGAACACACACGTTCCACCTATGGTACAGAGTTAGCAAAGATTATCAGAGAATACAATGTCGATTTAATAGTGTTAGCAGGTTGGATGATCATTTTACCAGCATCATTTTTAAAAGAGTTTTCAGACAATAAACCAACTTTAGATATTATTAATTTACACCCAGCTCTTCCTGGCCAATATCCAGGTGCCCATGCTATTGAGCGTGCTTACAACGATTTTAAAGATAATAAAATAACCCATTCAGGTTTAATGATCCACAAGGTTATCGAAGAAGTTGATGCTGGTGAAGTTTTACTCACCAGTGAAATCCCAATTTATCCAGAAGATACTTTAGAAACTTTAGAGGATAGATTCCACAAACAAGAGCATAAATCATTAGTTGAAGCAATTAAATTAATTTCAACTAAATCAAATTAAAAAATAAAAAAATAAAAATAAAAAAAAAATAAAAGATAAATAAATTGTTTATAGTAAATTTAAAAAAATAAAAAAGTGGTATATTAAAGTTTTGTTTATTTATTGATTTGATTGATTTGATTGATTTAAATTTTTTCTAAATCTGTCATTTCTAATGGTTCGTATTTATTTGAGTTTTTCTTTTTGAATTTATTTTTATAAAATTTATAGAATGCAAATAATAAAATAACAATACCTAAAATTGCTAAAATTGTGAGGAAAGACCAAAAATTGAGTGTTGATTTTGCAAAATCACTCATATCGACGTCGTTTAATAGATAGCACATTCTACCTCTCCATGTTAATTCATAAGATTTTCTATCCATTAGTGTCTTTCCATTGTATACATTGATATTATTAAATTGATTATTAAAATGTTCAGATTCTAAAATTGTATATTCTGCATGTAAATCTTCAGTGTCTTCATCAAAAACGATTTCTAAACTGCATCCACCTGTAGTTAAATTTCCGGTAATAATTAAGTGTGGTGATAATTTGGCTATTTGCTTTAAACCAATTATGGCATTTTCATTTGCAACCAAATGACCAAAAACTGTAAAGTTACTATCTTGAGTACTGTGATCAACTTCTAATTTTGAATTACCATTCAAGTAGTAATGAAGAGTTGTAAAGTTTGATTGGGCAGTGGGCTGTATGTAGCTGTTATTTGAGATGATATCGTAATTGGTTGCTAAACTCGAATTGCTTACTACCATAATTTCAGTGTTGACCACAACAATTGAGTTTGTTGATATGATGGCAGAGTTCATTATATTTAATGTATCTGCATTAACTGTTAAAAAACTTTCTTTATCCATGATAATTTTAGAGTTTGAAATTTCTGAAAGTGATTTGGTTCCATTAAATTGTAGTTTGGTCATTGAAAGTTCAACAAAACCATTTATTATTTTACTATCGGTGATTGTAAGGGTTGTATCAGTTGCTGTTAAGTTTCTAAATATAGAGTTTTTAATTTCTACATCAATACCGGCTTCGAGTGTAAGATCGGAAGATACTTTAATATTTGATAATACATATGAGTTTGTTACATAGTTTAAATTGATTTTTACAGGTGAAGTGGGGTTACTGGATTCTATTTGATCTAGTGTTACAGAGGAATAGTCGATTTTATCCTCATCACCTCCAACAGTAAGGGATGTATTGGTACCAAATTTGATTTTGCTGATAACTAGTTTAATTGGGGTGGAGTTTTCATCGCTATCTTTATTACTGAATAAAATAGAGGAGCCAGTACCAACATTAATGCACTGATCATTTTCATTTTTACACTTGAATACACCAGAAACAGTAAGCGATGACTTTGGTTGCAGCATAATTGGCTCTAGGCCAGTTTGGGTAATTGATGAGATTGTTGAATCACCAAATAAGGTACAAGAGTTATTGAAAGATATCATTGAATTACTGAAAGATTCGGTGTATTTCGAGATAATACCCTTTTTAAATGTACATTTTTCGGATCCATCAATAAAAACAAGAGAATCTATAAAAGATGGTTGAATTTCGAATGTGTTGGTGGTTGGCAAGCTGAGTGATGAGTTGTTAAGAGTGAATGTACCACCATTTACACTAGAGGATTTTTTAATTTTAATAGATGATGCATCAGCTTTAAATATACTGCTAGATACAAGTTCGTCGATCTCTACACTTGGGATTGAGTTGAGGTTAAGATTACCATCGATTTGCAATTCTACTTTGTCTGCTACAAAATTATTATTTTTTCTATTATATAAATAGAGTTCAGTTTCGAACAATACTAATTCTTCGACTTTTACAAGTTTGTCAAGTTCCATATAAAGAACCTTTAGAGATTTGAAACTAACCACTGAGTCCTTGGTTATATCTTTACAGTATTCACTCCACAAACATGGTGAGTCTTTATTGGTACATTCGTTTGCTATTTCTGGGTTGCACCTATTATGGTCATCTGTTTTAACAAAATTGGAAATAAAAAATAAAAATATTATTAAAAAAATAGTTTTGTTTATCATTTCTTTTTTATTTCTTTATTTATTTTTTTTATTAAAAAAAATATAAAAATTTAAAAAAATTTAAAAAATAATTTTCATAATTTTTTTTTTTTTTTTTTTTTTCAATTTTAAATTTAAATAATATTTCTTGAATTTTTATTTTTAATGATTTATAGCCACCCAATGGTTATATTTGGCATATAAATCTTTATTATTCTATATTTACAATAAATTTATAAATATCAATTTTTTATTTAATCTTTTTTTTTTTATTGAAATCAATAGTATCCATACAAAAATAATAATATCTACACAATATTGATAATAATAAATTAAAAATGGATAATAATAATAGCACCGAACAATCAGATAATAGAGAATCAATACTCTTTAATAATATTTGGAAAAATAATCTACTTAAACAAAAAATTTTAGATTATTTAAAATATTATAATAGATTATATTTAAAAAAAAAAGAATTTAAAAACTATGTGGAATTTCTCGAATCAGAGGAAAAGACACAAATAACATCACTTGTAATCAGTCTAGGATTTCTCAACTCTGATAGTTTATTCGATTTTTTACAGAAACTACCAAGCAATATTGAAAGAATAGAAATTAAAGGTTGTAATTTAGTATTCGATATTGATAAATTAATTTTACCCAATACACTTAAATCAATTATATTCAATAACAAACCAAATAAGATGCAAGCCAATATTGAAATCTTTTTAATAGACCAATCTTCCTCTTCCTCTTCCCCATCACCCTCTTTATTTGGTTCCTTTCTTTCAAAAATAAAAAAAAAACCAATTCCAAAAACTATACCCTCAGCTCAACCAATATATAATTTGGTTTCACTAGGACTTGGGCAATATCTCGAAAAAATTTTAATAAATTATCATTTATCAAAAGCAATAAATCTTCGTTATTTAATACTCAATCACGAATTTTCAACCCCGATTTTAGAAGGAATGCTTCCTAATCAACTATATAGTTTAATTATAGATGACAACTATCCATTTAATGAATTATATTTCCCAAATAATTTAAGAAAATTTCAAATGGGTCCAAACTCTGTTTTAAAATATTCATCCATATTAGAGAAACTGCCAGTAACTTTGGAATATCTTGTGTTACTTGGTCATTTTAATCATAATAATGGAAGTCCAATCAAATCATTAAAACAATCACCAAATTTAAAGAGTTTGATCCTACCCGATAGTATTTTTCAACCAAAACAAAACAAAAAAGACAGCGAGTTATTAAAAAATCTTTTCTCAACCAAATCTTTTACTTCAATAACCTCTCTTTCACTAGGATCAGCTGATAAAACAATGTTTAAAGTAGATTTCGATATTGGCCTTCTACCTCCAACTCTAAAGAAACTCAAACTATCCTCTTGTATTGCAATAAAGAATGATGAGGCAAAAAGAGGGTTTCCACAAAGCTTAATAAAGATTAGTGCAAATGCACCACATCTTTCGTGTAAGTTTGAAAACGCATCAAATATTCAGTTCATAAAAATAAGTCTTTTTAATAGATCAAGTGATATCAATTTTGAAAGGTTTCAAGGATTAAAATCAGTAAGATATAACTTTATTTCAATGGAAAAAGAAGATATTTTATTTAAAATCATACCCAAAACTGTTAGAAATATAGAAATACTTGCAACTGATTTAGACTTTTTTAAAACCATCGAATTACCTTTTTCAGCATCAAATATACAATCATTAAAATTAGATCCTCTTCTTTCAATGAATATAATAAAATTAATAAAATCAAATACATCATTACCAGTATTCCCACCAACACTACTTTTATTGGATCTAAACCTCTATCTTTTAAACACAGATTATTACCAGGATGTATTTAAAAGTCAATATTTTTGGGCACCATCATTAAAAGAAGTGATACTCAGAGGTGTTGCAACACCAATAACTTCAATACCAGAGACATTAAAAACTATTTATATTTCGAGCAAAAGTCCTGTTTTCGAAAAAAACTCAATATTTAATCAATTAACACCCCACATTAAATCTTTGGTTATATTCGATACTGATAATGATCATCCAGTTAATAAAATACAATCAATTTCAAATCTATATAGAAATTTAAAAAACAAATATTTAAATTAAATAAAATTTTATAAAGTATTATTATGATATTTTCCCTCTTATCTTTTTTTTTTTTTTTTAATATTTGTTAAATTTAATTTTTTTTTTTGATATTTTTTTTTTTTGATATTTTTTTTTTTTTATCAAATTTTTTTTATACACAATATATTTAATATTACAATATTATTAAAACGAAAATGTTAAAAAGATTTTACAGTACTGTACCAAAAGAATTCATTTATGAATTAAAAACATATAATGTACCAAAGAATAGTATCAAAGAATTAAACAATGCATTTAAAAAGATTAACCCAAACGAAAAAGTATTAACTGGAGCCTGGGTTAATAATTCAACAACATCAACTAACCAAGTTTACGCTTTATGGCGATTTGAAAGCTTAGATCAAAGAAAAGAAATAAAACAAAGAGTATTAACCGACGAAATCACCTCTACTATTAAACCATTTGAAAAAGATTCAAGCAGTATTGTATTCAGAGAATACCCATGGGCTCCAACTCAACTATCAGAAAGCGAATCCAAAGAAAACAAGGTTTGGGATATGGTAACCTATGAAACCAAACCAGGTCAATTAGGCTCATGCGGTGAAGGTGTATCCAAAGCATTCAATGAAAAAAAGAAAAACAACACTCCATTCGGTGTATTCTACAGTGAATTTGGTACACTTAATACCATCTTAGAATTATGGCCATATAGAAGCGAACAACAACACTCTGAATTAAATAAATCCAATAACTCTAATGACACTATCAAATCCTCGATTAATAATGTTAGCGAAAATTTAAAATCAAATATAACTACAAAATTGTTCACTTTAGACGAATATATTAATAAAAAATAAAAATAAATAAAAATAAATAAAAATAAAACAACTCCATCTCAAAAACTACATCGTATTAAAGTTTATGAATTAAAATATATAATATTTTTTAGAAAAAAAAAAAAGTTTAAATTTTATTTATATTATTACAACGATTTGAATTTATTTAAATATTTTTTTCCTATATATCTATTTATGATTCGATTTATTGTTTATTAGCAGCTTCCAACTAAAAATATTTTAAAAAAAAAAAAAAGATTTATTAATAAATTTTGTGCATGTTTATATATTGATCTTTTTTTAAAAAAAAGATAATTTTAGAAATTTCCTAAATTTTCTTACTTTTTTTGATAAATCGTCTACTCTTTGAGTTAAAGCGAGAACTTCTGCTTTAAGATCAGCGTTTTCTTGTTTTAAAGCGTCAACATCAATACCTAATGAATTTCCAAGATGTTTCTTTATGAATCTAAGTTAAATGAAACCTGAATAAGTAATCGTACTTTTAAAATATTAATTACGTTATACTACCTACTCTAATGCATCAGATGGCTTATCAGATTCTTCATATAAACCAACGAGAACTTTTGTTAAGGCATCAATGACACCAGTTTTTTCGAGGTAACCTTTGAATTCTTCTTTTTCGGCTGAATTCTATTTTAATAAATGAATAATAAGAGATATTAATATCCAACACACTACCCACTAAACCATAGCCATTGCTTTATTATTTATCCACTTACTTGCATAGTTTAATTAATTAAAAGTTTATATAAATATAATTTACAACAATAAGAGAAAAATCTAAAAAAATTTAAAAAAATTTAAAAAAAAAAAAAAATAAATAAAAAAAAAAAAAAATAAAAAAAATAAAAATCTTTTTTTTTTTTTCAGTTGTGGAAATTAAATATTAAAACTACAGCTTTTGATTGTTTAATTTATGGATTTAATGGTTAAATTAATTCTATTAAAATTAATTTTTTTTTTATTTGGTTTTTTTTTTTGAATAAATTAATTTGTAATTGGTACAATAGTTGATGATTCGGTAATAGTAGCTTGACCTCTAATTGGAGGATTAACTTTATGGATACGGATATTGGCGCTTGATGTTAAATGATTTAAAGCAAGTGGTGTAACAAAAATATATTGTTTTGATTTATTCTCTTCGGCTTTACTAATTAAAAGTTTAATTGAAATTGAACGATTAACTTCATCCATAAAAACATCGAATTCATCCATAGCTCTAAATGGACATTCCATATTTTCCCATAGAGCCAATAATAACGAAACAGTTGAGAATGATCTTTCACCACCAGATAAACCTTTAGTATCACCACCCTTGGCATCTTCAGGCTTGGCAGCATTACCATTTAGTTTTTTATCGAGATTAACATTGATATCGAGTTTACCCTCTTTATGATTGAATGTGAGTGTGCCAGTGTAACCTTTTTTAGAAAGGAAAATATTGAAAAATTGATTGGAACGACGTGAGATACTGAGACGGAAACGTTGCCATTGAATATAACGTGTATTTAGATTTCTTTCTAATAACTTAGCTAATTGTTCAATGTTGGCTTTTTGTTCACAGATTTCTTTGAGTTTGGTATTATTTTCGGTGAATAAAGAGAGAGCCTCTTGTCTTGAACGCTTACCTTGTGATTGTCGTTCTAATTCTTTTTTAAAACCTATAATTTTATTTGTAAGTGATGTTTGATTTTCTTTCTCGGGAACTTCAACACGATCTGATATTTGAAGTGCTTTATCAATACTCTGTTTGAGCTCAACTCTAAGTTGGTCAAGCTCTTGAACATAGTTTTGTTTCTCGCTGGCGCTTCTGGATTTAGCTTCGTTGAGTGAATTTCTCTTTATTATCTGTTTCTTTAATAATTCATTATTCTTTCTATTTTCGTTTTCGATCCTTCTCATTTGACTTCTTAAAACATCGACTTGTTGCTCTGAGTCTCTGATCTTTTCTCTAAATGGTTCTTTCTTTTGTTCAAATTGCTTTCTTACCTCCTCGCATTGTTGGAGTTTTTCTTCAATCTCTTTAATAGCAAAATCCATCTCTTGTAGACCATTTTCTAAATCCTCTGTGTCATCAGTTTGTTGAATTAGTGTATCCTCAATTGATTTGATTTCATTAGAAAGTTGAAGAATTTTACGTGACACACCATTAAAATCACCTTCACAACCTTTGATTCTCTTGTCAACCTCCATTCTTCTTTTGTTGATATCATCTTGAAGTTTTTTTTGTTGTTCATATTTTGGTGTTTGTTCTATAAGTTGTTGTTGAATTGATTTGATTGCATTCTCTGGATTAACTTTAAGAAGAGTGGCCTCTCTAATTTTATCGGTTGATGAAGTGGTGTTAATATTACCGTTCTTGGTTCTTACGATTTCTGTGCCATCTAATGTATAAACTTTATTGATACTACGGGGAGTTTGTGGGTCAAATAAAATTCTATCACCTTCTTGTCTGTCTTTTGCTAGTGCGAGTTGTTCAATCTTTTTGGAATCGATTAAATAATTGATAATATAATGATTTTGTGAACTGATAGCTCTAAGGACTGTGGAGATGGATGGATGAAATGAGTCATGCTCTGGAGTACTATAAACACTGTCTGATTCTGAAATCTTTACGAAATCAATTTTTACATTAAATTGACTGGCCATCTGTGAAAGTTTTTTACCATCTTCGATTGAGAATACAAGGAAATTTCTGAGGGTGGGTTTACCAATTGCGCACTCTACCGAATATGCTAATTTTTCATCTTTTAATTTAATTTCTAAACCGACTGGGCCAATTGGTTCTCTTGAAAAAACACGTGTATTTTTTTTTATTTGCTTCATAAATTCACCAAACTTTTCACCATAGGCTTTGGTCATATCGAGCATTGAGCCTTTGTAGACATTAAGTTGTTTCTTTAAACTGTCAATACTATAATACAATTGATTAACTTGAATTTTTTGAGCATTAAATTCATCTGATAGCTGTTGACTCTCTTTAATAGCCTCTTCTCTATTTCTTTGTGATTCCTCCTTTAATTTTTCCATATTTAGCCGCTCGTCCTCTTTTCTTTGTATTTCATTCTTTTTAGCTTCATTATTTGCTAACTGAGCATTTCTTCTTTTAATTTCATCGATGGATGCTTTCTGTCTTGCTCTACGTTGTTTTGTAACCACTAAACTTCTCTTGTTATCATCAGCTGCAAGCTTGTTATTTGTTTCCTCTCTTTCAATATTTGTTATTTGTTGACGGAATTGGTTTTTTTCTTGATCAAATTTATTAATTTGTTCATTAAATTCGTTAAGATTTTCATTGATTATATCTATATTTTTTTGATAAGTTTGAATTGAATCTTCACAATTTCTAATTTCTCGCTCTTCGCTTCCAGCGCTCTTCTCCATAGCCACAATTTCTCTTTCTTTACGCTCAATATCTCTTTCGATCTGAACAACAAAACACCAAGCCAATTGATCCTTTAAACTACTAATTTTTCTTTCCAAATCTACAAGTTGTTCTAATTCTTTATATTCTTTTTGATATTCCTTAACTTTCTTCTCCAACTCTTGAATTAACTATTAAAAATAAAGAAAAATATTAATTTTAATTTTTTTAAAAATCAATATTATTTAAATAATATATTATTTACTACATACTTGAGCTTTGGCTATAATATGATTATTAATTCTATCAATATTTTCTTTAGTTGCTGTATAATCTTTTGTCATTTTATCTAATTGTGTGGCTGTAAGGAAAAGTTTATATTTTTCTGAAGCAGTTGCTGAATTTAAAAATTGTCTACTGGTATCTTGTGTAAGAATCGACATTGGATTATCAATTTGAATATTAAACTGCTCAAGAATTAATGAGAGTTCTGTAAACTTTTCTGAAATTGTAACTTTACCGGTATGATCTTTAATTTTATAACCACTGCCACCATTTCTATTAATTCTTCTTTCAATAACAATTGAATTACCATACTTTTCTGGTTGATATGCCTCTGGGCCCCTATTTCTTAATACTACTTTAATAAGAGAATGACTGAATTAAATAAAATTTTAGTTAATAAAAGTTTTAACTATGTAGCCATATGAACTAGTTTGAATATTTGGTGCTTACTTTGTGTCAGTTCTAATTAAATCAGTAATTTTACTACCTCTATTTGTAAAACTTGCCTTGGCACCCAAGGCAATGATTAAAGCAATCATAACAGCACTTTTACCACTACCGTTTTCACCGGAAATAAAATTAACATTTGACCCAAATGAAATATGAAAGTGACGATGGCACATAAAATTTTCTAATGTTATCGACTCAATAATACCTGCTTCAGGATCAGTTGATAGTTTCCTTAATTCTGCCTCTTCCCGAATTTTAGTATTTTCAGCATCGCTATCATCTGAATCTGAACCTGAATCTGATTCTGATTCTGATTCTGAACCTGAACCTGATTCCGAACCTGATTCTGACTCTGAATCTGAACCTGACTCTTCATCCTCTGACTCCTTAACTATTGGTCCCTTTCGATTTGTTGAGGTTGTAGTTGTTCTTTTTTTACTGATTATCTCTTCTTCGTCATCCGACTCTTTAACTATCTTTTGGTGTTTTATAGGTCTTTCATTATTCTGAGTTGATTCTATCATATCATCATCCTCTTCCTCGTCAAGTTCGTGAGAATTTCCATGACCAAATCTTCTTTTTGACATTTTCTTTCTTTCTTTATATTTTGAATATATATATGTATATTGTATTAATAAATACAAAAGAGAAAAATTGAAATCTAATTTATAAGTAATAACAATAATAAAAATAAATTTATATTAATATTATATACAATTTAGATTTATGTATTATTATTAGTTTTAAAATAAATTTAAATTTAAAATTTTTTTTTTTTAAATATTTTAACTGAAAATTATTTATTTAATTATTATTTATTATTTTTTTTTTTAAGTTTATTATTATTTCACTATGGTATACTATAAATTATTTCTCTTTACTTTTTTTTTTTCCTTTTTTTTTTTTTTTAAGTTATGATTGATAGTACATCTAAAATAAAGTTATTTTAATGAGGACAATTTCTAGGCGCAAAATTTAAGGTAATATATTACGAAATTTAAATTTAAAAAAAGAAAGAAAAAAAAAAATTAAAAATAATTAAAAAATAAAAATTAAAAAAATTAAAAAAAAATAGTTTTTTTTTTTTTTTTTTTTTTTTTTCCTATAAATGTAGTGTGTTTATCTTTTTAATAATTAATAATAATATATTTGTGTGTAAAAACAAAATAAATCCACACCTACCCCACCCTACATAACCTTCATAAAAAAAAACTATAAATAGAATGAACAGTAATAAAAAAACTGATAATCAAAACAGTGATAAAGAAAAAGATCAAAACAGTGATAAAGAAAAAGATAAAGATGAAATTTTAAAGCAAGCTTTAGAAAACCTTACAAAGTCATCCAAACACTTAAAGAAAATATCTGAAATTACCAAAGAAAATACAAATCAATATCCATTGTTAGATAATTTAACTGAGGAATATATTCAGGTATTATCTTTATTGTATAAAATATAATAAATATAATAACAAAAATAAAAACCCTTTTTCTTTTTGTTTTTTTTTGGTTTTTATTTTTTTTATTTTTTTAAATTAAATAAATTATTAATAATTTTCTTTTAATTTATTTAATTAAATTAAATTACAAACTTCAATTTAAAAACATAATAACGATTAATATTATACAGGCAGAACATTTATATGAAAGAACACCTAAAATTTTAAAAATGTTGCATTCAATTGATTTAATTGAAATGTTGGTGTCAACTGAAGCCTGTCAAGATTTTATTAATTTAGATTATGAGTTAGAACATTTAATTGAAACCACTAAAGACAGAATGGGCAATATAAATATATTTTTTAAAAGAGTAAGTATTATTAATAAAATATTGTTATATAATTAATAAAAAATTAATAAATTAATAAATAATTAAATACAACTAATTAATAATAATAATAATAATAACAATTATTAATAATAATAATAATAATAATGATTAAAAATAATATATAAACGAAATTAAAAAAATCTCGCTAATTGTATACAATTTTTAAATTAAAAAAAAAATTATAATAATAAAAGTTTGAATACGAACATTTTTTAAAAGATAAAGATAATGAATTTTTTAAAGAACTATCTGCTTACAATAACCAAGTGATTGAATCCCTAAATAAATTGGAAAACATATATGAAACTGTAAGTATTGATAATTTTATTTTATTTTGACATCACGACATGTATATTTTTTTATATTTTTGCACCTACCTTTACACTTTTTTTTCTTTTTTTTTTTGTTAATTAAAAATTGTTATAAACCTAACCTGTTAGAATAAAATATTCTAGGTGGGGTTTGATTATTCTACTCCATTTGTTTTTCACCAGCCACACTTCACATTTCACATTCCTTTATAATTTTTCTTGTCAGTTGCAGCTTTTTTAGAATTATAAAAATTGTAAATTTTAAAAAACTGTGTGTTTTTTTTTTTTTTTAAAATTGTTAGTATGAAAAACAGCGTGTGGGGTACATAATATATTGTGGGGGCTCTAGTTCTGAAAAAATATTTTTATTTTAAAACCATATACATGTGTCTCTACAAAAATAAAATATTTTATAAAAAAGAAAAAAAAAAAAAGATAATAATCACAACCTAAATAAATAAAAATAAATAAATTATGATGTTTGTTGTTGCTATGTTTTTTTATATTAAAATAATCTATAAATACAAATAACTAGTAAAACTTATTAACTAACCTACTTTTATATTCTTTTTAAAAATATTTTTTCAAATATGAAATAATAATAAATTAATAATTATGCAATAAATAATAAAAAAAAATAAAAAAAATATGCTTTTTATATTTACCAAATTTATTTACCAGGGCAAGACATTAGTTAAAGAAGTTATAGAAATAAATAAAAAAAAATTAAAGAATTCAAATAACATCATCAAAGGTTATTTTAACATTGGTGTAACTCTATTCATTTTAATAGCAACTATTTTAATATATTATTATGTGTCACCCGCCACCTCCTCATCTGATGCCGCTACTGCCACATCCTAAGTATCTTCATCTGTTAAAAATTAGAATTTATAAATAAAACATTATATAATTATTATCAATTATAATAAAATATAATAAAATATAATAACAATAGCAACAATATGAAAATATAAATATAATAAAAATGACAACACAATACAATAAACCAAACAGTCACCTTCTAAATTTATAAGAAAAGTAGATCTTAATTGAGATTCTATTACTTTAATTCTAAATAAATTTTTTTTTGTTTTTATTGTAGTGTGTGTATTTGTGTGTTAACGTATTAACACACTTTTTTTTTTTTTTTCATCAACTGAAAAACACACTTTTTTGTGTATTAAATTTTAAAATAAAAATAAATTTTTGTGTGTGAGTGTGTTAAATTTATTTTTATTTTTATGGGGAGTGTGTATCTCTTTATGTGTGTAATTACATGAATCTACTATTCTTATTTTCATCATTTGATAATTGATTCTGGAATGATTCTTATTCACAACTCAAATACATATTTTTCAAGGAGTGGTTTAGTTACGAGCGGCAATATTTTATTATTATTTTAAATAAAAGAAAGTAAAAAAAAATGAAATTGTTTTTTTTTAAAATTTACACAAAAAAAAACATAACCATTACACCACATATATCTATTTTTTTTGATGTTAAAATAAAAATACACCATTTTTTTCCCCCATTAATTTTTTTTTTTTTTTTTTATAAAATTTTTTCCAAATTTTTTCTTTGTGCATTTTATCAGTTGTGCCGCTGGGTGTATTTTTTTTATAAAAAAAAAACTTTCTTTGAAAGAACAAGCACGATATATATCTGAAGCACAATTTAAAAAAATCTTTTTATCATAACCAAACCAAAAAAAAATTGATGTTGACGAGGATGATAATGAAAATAACATCATTTCGATAATTTTATCTTTTGTGCTAAAAATAATTAACCAATTATTATAAATATTTATAGGTTTTTTGAATAAGTAAGAGATACCCCCCATTTTAAACTTTCACACAAAAGCCCAAACCCCATTATTTTACCGATATAAAATGTTGATAATGGGACAGCTATGATGAATTATGTAGGTTGAAAAAAAGTTTGGAAAAAAAAAAAAATAATTATATAAAATATTAATATATAAAAATAAAAAAAAAGAAGTTAGAATGAAAAAAAAAAATCATAATTCTAAACCCTTTTTAAATTTAATATGGTTTTATGATAACAACACCACTGTTTAAAATTTTTTGAATTACAGTTAAGGTCCAATGAAAATTAAAATAAAATAAAATGAAAATTAAAATAAAATAAAATAAAATAATTAAAAAAAAAAATAAAAATTAAAAAAAAATAAAAATTAAAAAAAAATAAAATTAATAAAAAATTTAATTTAAAAAAAAAACAATTTTTAAAAACTTAATTTTAAAAAAAAAAATGACCTCAAGCCCATATTAAAATGTATAAATTAATTATTTTTTTTTTTTTAATTAATGAGGACTCTGTATTAAAAAACAATTGAATTTTCATAATCTAGATATTTATTCTTTAATTTCAGTTAACTAAAAATACATGTTTTAAACAGTTCCAATATTTAAATAGCATGATATAATTCCTATTTAGTGTACACTATAATAAAAAACATAGATCTAAAGACAGATTAATAACTAAAAATAAACACACACAACCAGACCTTTGAACTCTTTGTCTATATAGATCTTTAATTACTATGTGATCACAACGGATGGCCTTCTTATAGGTTCTTTTAAATAAAGATATAGAAATGAGGATCAACCCCCTCTTCATATTTATTTTTTTTTTTTTATAATATAATATTATAAATATTTTATTTTTATTTTATTTATTTTTTTAATAAAATAATTTTTTTTTAAAAACTATTTAAACTAAACAATATTTTATTTTTATTTTTTTTAAACTTGTTATAATACAAACCAATTTAATGATACATTAGTAAAAATAATAAATTAAAATTATATTAAAAAATATAAACAAAATAAAATAGTTAATTAATAAATAAACTTTTATTATTTAACATTACAATTATTCAATAGTTTATAATAAACACTTCAACACATTATATAAATATTTAAAAAAATTTTATAATAATAATAATAATATTTTAAAAAAAAAAAAGTAAGTTTAAAAAAAAAAATAAATAAATTTATTTTTAAATTTCTTTCATTCCATTGTATATTTGACAAATAAAAAAATTATATATATTTTTATTTTATTTTTTTTTTTTTTTTACATAATAATACCATTACAATAAATTGATATAAATAATATGAACGACTATTTTTTTAAAAACTGTAAAATATCTTTTTCAACTCAACAATTATAAAAATAAATATAATATTTTTTTATCGTCGTGCCATTATATATTTAATTTTTTTTCTCCTATATAATATCTCAAAATTAAAATTCGAATACTCTTTAGAATAGTTTATTCGTTCTTTAATAAATAATACCCTAAATAATAATCACTTTTTTTTTATAACCAATAGAAAATAAATTATCTTTTTCCACACCATAATCAATTTTTTTTAAAATTTTGTGTGTTTTGTGTTTTTTGTGTGTGTGTTCCACACTTTT